TCTCAACAATTCTTTTTGATTTTACTCTTAATTTTTTCAGTTAGGGTTCAAAATAAAAAAATTAACTCATTTTACTAACATTTCACATCATCTAATTAATAGGAGCTAATGGTTCAATGATTCAAATATAATAATTAATAATGTAAGTGAACAAAATTTAATAATTCGAGAATGTAAATGACAGGTGTCGAAACCGTCATTCGAGTGAGTCCCGAATTGGGCTTCGACTTAGATTAAATGAATTGGATTAAATGAATTGGAGTCGCCCCCGACCATTTTAAAACGAATTTAGGTGGGTCGGACACCATCTTACCTGATCTTCGTTGTACCAGAAACGTGGTTGGTTCGGGAGTTGGTTACGGTCAAGGAAGAATTAGCACCCGTGAACAGCCCTTTTGGTATCAATTAATTTATCGGTTGTCTTTAATTGGAAAAAAATAGAAATTTAAATTAAATTTTAAAAACCGATTCGTATCACTTACCTTTGATCGATTGGAATTACTACTGAAAAAAGTAAAAAATATTTGATTCAAACATACCAAATTTCAACAATATGCATCAAAATTATTATTCAAATTCTTAAGTAAAGCCAAAGTAGATCATTATCAAATCGCCAAATTATTTCCTTAAGGCACAATTATGAATAAGGATAATTAAAGAGGGTGTCTAGATGTCAAAATTAACGCCAATTAATAAAATAATGAATTTCATGACGTTAATCATTTGTAAAAAACCAATTAATAAGTTATTAAAAAAATTGTTAATCGAAAAATGAACGTAATTAAACCGACTTAATGCCATAAGAAAACAAATCTTATTATGTGAATTAATAATTCAATTAAGCCGATTAGCCTAATTAAACTAATTAGTAACATAATCAAATATGAACTTATAACACTAATATTTTAATTTAAATTAATTTAATCAATTAACAAATTATTAATTAACTATGGAAGTGAATACGTAAACAAATAACATAAACGACTCTAACCAAATCAATTAATTTAAATAATACCTTAATCGTCAATTCAATCACATTAAACCATGGAATTTTCTACCAATTATGTAAAGAAGAAAAAGCCACGTTCATTACCAATTAACAATCCAAATCAAATCACGATTATTGGCAAACTAATTAAGCTTGACTAATGTTCAATTTAACAATAATACCATAACAACCAAAATTAAGAAAAAGAAATTCAATAATGCTGGCCAAGCAAAGATGTAATCACATTTGATTCTAAACGAATTAACCAGGGAATGCAAAACCATATATCACGATTTTCATGCCATACTAAATAAAGGTAATTAAGGTTTTAATCATTTCAATTCATACCATAAAAAACAAAGCCAACATGGAATTTAATCATCCAACTCAACCATAGAAACGAAGCCACGTATATTACCTTCTTCAAGTCTAGAAATTCGTCGTTGAACATTCGTTCTCCTGAGATTTGAAGACTCGCTTGCCGTCTTAACGCTTTGGCGTTTTACTTCTGTTGATTCTTGGAACTTTTTTTCTCTCTTTTCGTAGATCTCTCTTCTTAAAAATTCGTGTTTTTTTGCTTTTTTTCCCTCGATTTTTTCAACCCCTCTACAAGGTGTGAAGATGGGTTTAAATAGGGATGTATGAGAGATGATGGTGAGAGTCCAAATTGCATGGGAGTCTTGGGGAAGTTGAGTTGTAGTAGGATATTGGATTTCATGGGATAATATGGTTTTTAGTTTAAAAGATCTGGTGATGAAAGAGTCCTTTTAAGAGATAAACTCTTGTTGATTCTATTTTTTTTTGGAAAAAGAAAAAACATACAAATAATAAGAAAATTAATGTCCACACAAGAATGTAACTTTTTAAAATTTAATGACGCACAAAATTGAAACAAAAGTGACAATTCCTGCAATTTATCTTATTTTTTATACTTTTATATAATTTGTAAAAAAGGGGTAAATTAATTTTTTTACTAAACTTTATTTTCACTCTTATTTTAATCACTAAAATTTAAAATTTTCAATTTAATCACTAAACTTTCGACCTGGTCTAATTTGCTCCTCCAATTGAAATTAGGGTTGTTTCTAGTTTGATCATTGAATTAAATAATTTTTCAATTAAACTACTCAACTATTATATTACAACCAATGAAGTCATTGTTGTTAATATTTGACGTTAATGAAGATGTGACAATTACTTACGCATTCTATCAAATCAAGCCATATACCATTAATATTTTACGAAAATAGTGTTGTGATAGTTAAGTAAATTTATACAATTACACTTTGGGTTCTTATTATTTACATATTTTATCAATTTAGTCCTAATTTCAATTTAAATTAATAAATTTAATCATCCAATCAAATATTGAGGGGGTCAAACTCGAAAATATTTTAGAAACTCCAACCATTGAGCCAAGTCCAACACTAGATTATTAATGGTGAAAATTAATGACAACAAAAATGACATTAGAAGGATTCAAATTCAGGTTTAATAAAAAATATGCTTAACCATTGAACCAAATTGAATAACTAATTATAGACAACATATTCTATATAGCATAAATGGAGTAATATATAAAATCAATATATAATAAAAATATTAATATAGTTTAAAATATTCATTATTTTCTTAAAAAATTATGATAAACAACATAAACCGATAAACAATTAAAAAAATTAACCTTAACAATAAAAAAATTATTATATGACTTTATTACAACTCAATACGATATATTTGTAATTATTGCAACAACTTATAAATACAAGACAATTAATTTGAGAGTTCAAAATATAAAACAAATTAATAAGAGAATTGAACATTCATTAATTGGAAGGCCGACAACAAATCGAATCATAAAACAACAAAAATAAAAATAAAATTCATATGATATCATAAAAAAGAACTTTTATTATTTTCATAAAAGATGGAAAAGATTTATTAAATAAAAGTAATATAAATTCTAGATTTATAAAAATATAAAATATAAAATGTTATATCGATGTCGATCAAATCAAAACAGATAATGAACAAGGAAAAAAAAGAAAATATTAAATCAAACTAAGAAGATGCAGAGAAGAGAAAAAAGAAAAGAAAAGGGAAAATAGGTTGAGCCCTCATGTTATGTGTGTTGTCTGGTGATAACAAAGTAAATTGGGCAAGTTTGTGTGAAGTTTGACTGTTAGCCACCCGGCCAAGGGCGGCTCTCGTAGGCAATTGGCTTCACTACTCGTCAAATAAGGAGCACGTGTAGCTCTCTCTAGAACATACAATCATTGACCTAACCATTTGGAGTCTTACCAAATCATTTAAAAATGAAAATCTACTCCAACGAAGAAGAAAATTAGGAATTCTTTGGTCAAATTAAACATACAATATTATATTAAATTTTTGTTTTGATTCTATTTATACAGGTGTTTTCACATGATAAATGTACTTTTCATATGATCATTCTCGTTCTTATGTCAAATAGTTAATTATTTTATCATAAAAACAATTCATTCAAGATTCCCATAATAATAACATCAGTGATTAAGGAGATTATTATTATTTTTAAAGGTTTTGGGTTCGAATAACTGCATATACAAAGTGTGTGCGTTATTAATGATTAAAAAATATTATGACCAAATACTATCTTGTAATTACCCTAAACTATTTAAAAAAAATACCTATAACACAAGACAAATATATTCCAATTTTGAGATGTTCATGTGTGTATATAGTGTATCAAGCTATCCCCAAAAAAATTATTCCACATTTTTTTTCATTTTGAATTGCAACTAAAAATAAATTATCTGAATAATTATAAACAGATTTATTCATCTTGAAACATAATTAGAATTGATAATATTCAAAGAAATATTAAAAATTGATTTAAAATATCATAAGCTCATATCATCCAATACATACCTATACATATCAATATGAATTAGTATAATATGAGAAGGATGAATCAAAATACCAATTGACATAATTAGAATCGAAATAAAATTTACAACCCTAATTAAGTTAAAATATATTTTCAGTCCATGTATTCTTCAAAAATTTAAAATTCAATTTCTTTGTTTTTATTTTTAAGAAACTAATTACTCCACTTTTCAAAATTAAAATTCAAGTCCAATTATTAATATTATTAATTTTGTTGGGTTTAAACTTAGGTCTATTATAAAATTCAGGAGCAGTTGCAAAGTGGTATTCGGGTGAATCGCAACATGCAGCGGCAATATCCACCTTTGGATTGGGTAAAATTGAATACGATGGTGCGAGGAGGGTAGATTCGGGTATGGTTGTTTGTGGTGGTTTGATTCGCTCACATTTGGGAGATTGAACTATTGGTATTTCGAAGAATGTCGAAATATATGCGGTTATAGATATTGAGCTGTGGAGTATTTTTGAAGGGATGTATATTGTTCGGGATATGAATTTGTTAAGACGGATAGTAAGAAGACTATCACAATGATTAATGATTGTCTGGATTCAAGAGGGGCCTCCTGATGCTCACTCACATGGCTGCCCTCCTCAATCAAAACTGGTTATCCTTTTGTTATGTTTTTTACGAGTGTAATCGTGTGACCGAATGCATAACTAGGATGATACTTATATAAAATATATTATCAACCGTTTTATTGAATAAAAAAAACCTCTCTTTTTATATGGTTACCAAATTAGTATGTTTATTTCAAAATGTTACATCAATAAATTATACAAAATAAATTTAATAGTATTAATAAAAGGACTATAATATTTTAATCAGAAAATAAGGGGATTGAAATTCAAATATATGAAAAGTACATGGACTTGAAACATATTTTAATCAAAAAATATTGTGATAGTTATATGGGTATTTCGTTAAAAATACTCTTCCAAATCCCATTGACCGCCTGCTTCCCGTGTAAATTTCCCAACTCTTTGTCGTCACTTTAGACAAGTCTAGTCAACACAATGAGCCTTCATCGCCATTTCTTCTTTAAAAAAGCTTTATTTTCAATCTTCTTCTTCCTCCTTTGTGCATAAAAACTCTGGTTTTTGAAACCCCAAAGAAGAAGAAAAATGGGGATTTCAAAGGAAGAGAAATCGAGAAGAATTCTGAGAGTTTTTAAAACAGTATTCTTCTTGATAACTATGGTGATTTCGTTCCTTGTGTTCTCTGCTCCTGTTTTCTTTGTTATCGCCGATACCCTTTTGCCTTCTGCTTTGCTCTCTGCTTCACTTTCTCCTTCGTCTTCTTCTTCTTTGTTTGAAACACTTTCTTCCCGTTTCAACAACTACGATTTCAGATCTTCTCTCGTCGATATCCCTCTCATCTCCATCGTTAGGTCAGCTGTTATAATCTGTAAGTAAACAAAAATATTCAAGATTTTATCTTTCGACCCTTTACGACTTATCGAATAAATTGAAGAGTGTACAATTGATTTTTCTTTTTGCAGGTGTTTATAGCTTTTGCGACGGGCCAAGACTTTCAAGGGGACCATACCTTGGAATTACGATGATATGTTCGGTTTCGTCGTTGATTCTCGTCTCGTTGAAAGCTTCGTTCATGTTCGGTTCATTTACTGCTATTGAAACTGCTCTTTTTATTTGTTCATTTGCCTTTGCGATTGCGCATATAGTTGTGGCTTATAGAACAAGTTGCAGAGAAAGAAGGAAACTCCTTGTTTACAAAATCGACATTGAAGCCGTAAGTTAGCTTTCTCTCTCTCTCTTCTTTTATCAAATCAATCTAAATAATTCTCGCTCTGCAACTTTGTTTAGGGCAAGAATTGTCACATAAATGTTGAAAGATAACTATACGTACAGTGATCATGTCATAAAATCATATGTAACAGATTGTTTTTTTCACTATATGGAAAAATAGAAAACTACAATAATTTTTTTTTAAATAAATTGAATTCTAACTCTAATTCTTAAATAATCTTAATATCTCGTTTTAGAATAGTATGAATTTTCTATTTCAATTAAATTAAATTTTTGACTTTCTCAAGTTTTTCCTTAATTTTATATTAAACCAAATTCAAAATAAATTTTAATTGATTTTTCCAAATTTCAAGTGAAAAGAAATACATGGATTCTGTAGCTCTGACTCTCTGAGATGCTGGCCAAGGCAGCCGCCTACGGCATTTGCATATATACGCAATACATGTTCACACACAAGCAGACAGATATTTGTAGTTCTAATTATGCCTTCAGTCTCTGTACTCTTCAGATTTTTGAAATTTAGTCCCTCTGCTTTTGATTCCTATAGTATAGTCCTACTTTTTTGGTTAAAAAATTAAAATCCGTATAATTAGACTATTAATTGGATCTTTGTTAAATTTGAATAAATGTTATCGAAATTGAAGTAGAACACAAAATTTCACAATTTTGATGAGTACAAGATTGCATGAAAAAGTAAACCATATTTGTGTGAGGAAAAACTCTACCTTTCCGTCTAAATTTATTCTATTCACATGTCAAGAAAGGCAGAGGAATTGTAAAAGAAGGAACATTGAGGAAATTCATATGCTATCCTTAGGGAAAGTGTACTTTTTCGAGTAACATAATCACCTAGTTGTCGAGTAAAAGATGTTAATAACATTTAATAATGGGTTTTATGTGAACAGATCTCAGCTTGTAAGAATGGGTTCCCAAGGTACCAGAAGATTCCCCAAGAAGAAAGAGTGAAAATTTAGCCTTTCTTTCCTCCCCTTTTGGCTGATCACTTGATTCTTCCATGCCCCCATAAACGGATCAGTTGTCTGGCAATGGAAGCAGCATATATATATATATAAACTTGTATAGCTGGTGATTTAGTATCACTTGGTAGAGGGTAGATTTCGAGGATAGATTCAGCATTCTTTCATGATTTTGAGTGTACAGTTTGTATTGTACATAGATATATTTTTAAGAAAGAAGGAATAGGCCTAAGGCCTTTTCAAAGAGTTTTTAATTTTTAATTAATTATTGTAAATTCTTATATTTGGAAAGTCTCTGATCGGAGTATCTCAATTACATTATTTATTTTTCATGAAAAGATAAAAAATAAAGAAGTTATATGCGTAATTGATCATAATAACTTTTAAATTTATTTATGCATTTTTATTAGTAGGTATCATTTAGCTGCGTGTAATTACACTTTACCTATCGAATGTATTAAAAGTTGTATGAAAAAATAAATAGAAAATTCAAACAAAATAGTTAATCTATTATGCAATGTATTTCTATAATATATAAGAAGTATTTTACTTTAGTAAGGCACAAATTAAGAAAAAAAATAGTGCAAATGTTAAATTGAGAATTTTTTTCAATAATTTTTACTTAGGGAGGGAGAAAAGAAGAATTTTGCTCCAGATCAAATTGAGAATTAAACCAAGGTGGCAGACAGCTTGGCAAGAAGGGCAAGACCTGAGGAGGCTGGAACGAGATTCCTGACACAACCACCGGAGGAGATACAAACTCTAATGCAACAGGATATTAGTTTAGGATAGATAGTTAGCTTCTCTTTGAGTTGCCTGCCAGCTCAATTGGTAGAGCGCAAGGCTCTTAATCTTGTGGTCGTGAGATCGAGTCTCACGGTAGACAATTCATAATGTTGGATATAATTTTCATATATATTGTAAAAAAATAAAAGAAAATTCACAAAAAAATTATAGTTGAAAGATGAACTATGGTAATACAAATAAGGTGGAGAAGACTTTTATTTATAATTGAGTCTCATAATAATGAACAAAGTAGATCGACTTACATTAATGATTAAGATGAAAGTCTATCTATCTATCTATCAAAACTCCTCAAAGGAAATTATATTAAAGCATATCAATTAACTTATTATATTCCTTAGATAATATATTTTTTTTTACAAAGGCCAATGTGAAACATCTTTTAGCATTTTTTGAGTTTCACACCCAGTCAGCTGGTTTAGACAAGCTTCAAATTTCGCTCAAAATCTTTTGAGTGAACAATTGCGCACACACCTCGAACCCTAACTCGCAGTTTGTAACTTTATACATTTCCATTAACATGGTCGATTAGATATAAAGAGATGGAAAGTTTTCGTTGACATTGATTATTTTTGCTGTCATCTTCATCTTTGTAACTCGTTGGTTCTTTTCCTATTCAACCTTTTCTTTTTTTTAATCTTAATACACTTGTATAATTTAACACAGTGAAATTCCGGTTGAAGATTAAAAGATGGTGAGAGAGGTAAGGGGATCCGTCGTTCAACTTGATCGTTGCAAACTGTAAAATCATATGTGAGTCGATTAAATGCGCCACCTACAGTTACGATAATGATCACAGATGTCACTTCACATCTTCCTCAGCATTTCCATTGTCTTAAACTCCAAACAATTTCAACCAATACTGTAGGTGGCTTAAAATTTTCAACCTACATTGGTGATCTACAGGAGCTTCTTAACCTACAGTATCTTGTTATATTCAACCTACAGAATTTAATCACTTCATTACAGGGAGTTTTGAACCCTTAAGCTAAATTTTTATCGGAATTTGTATTCTAATATATAAGTAATTTAACATTGAATATTAACATGGTTAATGTTTGGCTTAATATTTTTTCTTTGTATTTTAATCTATGTTTTTTTTTTATATGTACTACTTTTTTTTTTCTAAAAAATGTTGCTCTCCGGGATTGATCTGGGGACCTTTAGCGTGTAAAACTAACGTGATAACCACTACACCACAGCAACCGATGGCTTTTAGTGGAATCATAATTTTTTTAATTTTTTAATTTAATTTAATTTAATTTACTTTTTTGCTACTTGATTAGCATATGTTTATATTCTCAAGGAGAGAAATCTGATGCAACTCCCATTCTCCCAAAGCTACAGATGGAGTTGGACTAAGGGAGGCAGCTGTGCAAGTGCTACAATTAGCAGCTGATACTGGTGTTCCACAAGGCTGTTAGGTGATTAAATAGGTTTGGAATGAAATGAGAAACAAGGCCGCTGAAGTCCGTGGAGGAAGTTTATATGGTTTCCTTTGTACATCATTCATTCATATCATAGATGACAATTTTGAACTAATTTCCCCCCCTCAAATCTATTAAGTTCACCGAATTGAATTTTTTTGTTCCTCAAATCTGTTATATCCATAGAATTGAACTCTTTTTTTAATTCTCAATTCCATTATGCCTACGAAATTGAACTTTTTCTACTCTCCAAAATTGTTATGCTCACTGTTATCTTGTTCAACACAAAATCTTCTTTTGCTTAATTCTATCAAGACGTGGTTATTAGTAATGTCATCATCTCACACGAATGAGAAAATAACAATCTCATCCCTTAGAATCATTGAACTCTACAGAACATAAAACTTGATAGTATTTCTGTCCTTTCATCACAATAAGAGAGATCTTGCAATTTTTCACATCTCAACCTACCACAATACGAAGATGATTTTTTTCTATTTAATAATGTCGTTTATCTTGTTTTGGGTAACTAACTAGTGTTATGATTTTTTTTAATAATGTCGTGTATTTTGTCAGGTCAAACGATTTTTTTTGCTTTCCCTTATATAGATATCTTTATCTTAATTTTCTATTATTAATAAAATCCATTTACTAAAAGAAAAAATATTCAATGTTTAATTAATACAAATTTCACTAAAAATTTGACTTAAGGTTAAAAAAACCCCTCAATTTATAGTGAAAATTTAATTTAATTCTTATTTTTTATTAAATTGAATCATTGAAATATTAAATTTCACCAATTAAGCATATTTTATTTGTTTGAATGCGTCACCTACGTTGTGATAATAATCACAAATGTCATTGCGCGTCTTCCCCGACATTTCTATTATCTTGAACTCTAAATATTTTCAACTAATAAATCACTCTTATATTTTTTGTAATTGCAACTAATGTTCTTGTAATACATTTGATAATAATAGTAACCATTGGTATTAATTAATATTTTCTAGTTTTCCTTTTAACCTTCATGTCATTTTATAATTCTCTTATTCTTTTCTATAGAGTTGGTTTTTATGATGGATCAGATTTTGAGGGAGTAAGGAGAATTATATATACTATAATTCCAATACAACATTTGATAGTATTTTATATATATATATATATGGATGGATCGAGGGGAGGTTGGCATGGGAGATCTTCCTCATGGAAACTTTAAATTTTCATATATTTAGATATTGTTTTTTATATTTTTTTATCGATATTTTGTTTTTTTTTGTCCTTAAACTTTTATACGTTCGTTCGATAATATAAAATCATGGATTCATTCTAACATAAAATATGGATGATTTCACTAAAAACAATAGGACGGAAGGTTAACCTAATGATCATATTCTAATGTTAATGTAAACCTAATTAGAGTTGTTTACCTGTAATTTTCATTCTAATATTTATCTTAGAAAAAACATAAGTGTCGTATAAATGGCGTCTAGCCCTGGACTGGCACATATGAGAAAATTATTACAAGGATATGACAATTTTAAATGGTTGTTGTCAATTCTTGTACATGTATGTAGACACCGTTTTTAGCCCGGGCAGAGAAAACAAGTATCGATTTAGGGGTTTTTTTTGAAAAAGTTTTGGAAATGTGAAAAGTCGACACCAATCATTTTAAGATGCGATCGAGACACCATAAAAATTGGGTGATTTTAATAAAACATTTTATTTGTATAAAAAAAACAAATTTTAGGGTATGCGAAAATCCAGAAATCAGATTCGGGAGTCAGTTACGCATGGAGAATGATTAACACCCCACAACGCCCAAAAAGTGGTACCTAGTTTATTACCCTATATTTAGAATCGAAAATTTTGAGTACGAATTTATCTAATTTGAAAATCATTACAGATGCAAAGTTGAAAAAGATATTCGTTTATTAAAGCCAATAATATTCGCCCCCTAGCATGAATGCGGAAGATCATCTATTGTGCCAAATAACCGGACATTGCCTCGATTTTAGAAATCATTATGCATTCTTGAAAATGATGTCGACCTATTTTGGGAATCGCCAATAGTCACCCCTGAGCATACTTGCGGGAGATATACTATTAAATCCCTAATAAATGAACATTGCCTTAAATTTTAAAATAAAATGCAATCAAACAATTTTATTAATCCTAATTAAATTAAGGGTATATTAAGGTTTTCTCTAGCTTACATTGTCAAATTATGAAAATTAAAGAACCTAAAGGCATAAACCTAAAAATATAGGCTCTAATATTATTCTTATTTGATTTTAACCAATTATTGAGTCAAATAATCAAAATAGTCCCTTGAGCATTTAGGCGAGGGCCAACTCGAATTATTCCTTAAATTAAAATGACTAAATTGAAATCTAACTAAAGTGGAGGTTCTAATATCAACTTAAATTAATTTTAATCAATATTGCAATTCGAATAATTAAAGTGAAACCTTGAGCAAAAGCGATGACCAAATTAAGAATTCTGTTAATTTAATGATTAAATATGAATCGAATAATTAAAAGATTATGAACTAAATCTAAAAAAGTGATCAATCAATGACTAAATTAAAAGGATACAAATATTAAATACAATTAAAATATAAAAAAATACTAAAATTAAAATACTAAAAAATGAAGGGTAAAATTAAATAAAAAAATAAAAAAATAAAAAATAGTAAATTAAAATAATGAAATTAAAAGACTGAAATTAAATAAATAAAAAGTAAATGACAAAAATTTAAATGTGCATAAAATTAAATAACAAAAATAAAAGAGAAATAACAATAAAATGATAACGTTAATTTTTAATATTTAACATTGACTGTAAATAATACGAGTCGTACTTCGGTGCGGGGCGTCGTAAGGTCGTACTATAGTTCGAACATAAAATACATACATAAATAAAAAGTTAATTGTTCGTGGTTAGCGGTTAACGATTAGAAGTTAGAAAAATTAGTTGTTAATAGAGTCCGGACCATAATAATGTGGATTATACCTCGAGTCGAGTCACCACAAAGTCGTACAATAATTCAAATAAATTAATAAAAAATTAACATTTAGGAGTTAATAGAATCCGGACCATAATAATACGAGTCATACCCCAAATCGGGTCACCGTAAGATCGAATCAAACATTAGCAATAAATAAATTAATTAAACAATGGCCAAAATACAATAAAATAAAATCAACCATCTAATTTAAAATAAACACAAAATCGTACGTGGTGACTAAAATAGAAATGAACAGAAAGTTATGCATGAAATTCGAAATAAAATAAAAAGGGAACAAGTGAACAAAATGTGAAAATGCGGCAAAGGTTGGAGGACTGAAGTGTATTTTTCCCCTAAAACAGGTTGCCAGAAATCTAAAAGAATACTACAATGTGGGGGCCTAGGTGTGATTTACCCTTTATATTAAAACACAAAATATTTCCCCCCATTTCACGCAGTCCGGCCGAGAAGCTTACCAAGCTTCTGAAACTCCCTCGGCCGTCGCTCGCTGGCCCTCACACGCCGGCCACTGGGCCGGTGACCACTATACTCCAACTGGAGACCCCGATCACAACCAAAGGAAGCCCGACCGAACAACTTGAACGGCCGAAACTCTCCCCATTATCTTCCTCTCTCACTCTTTCTCTCCCCCACACGGCGGCCGAGAAGGCTTAAAAACGAGCCTTAACGCCGGAAAAACATCTCTTACGATCAACGGCGACTATCAGAACTCCGACCGACGCCCGAACTGGCGGTGGAAAGCCAAACAAAGGTCTAAGTGACCACAAACTCTTCTCCCAATCTTTGCTTTCGACCAAAGCCCCCCAAAGACCCACGAGATCACCGCAGGCCACCAACAGCCGGCGCTGCCTGGCCTTGAGATGGCCTCTCTCGCATGCCGGCGACCGCTCAAAGGTGGCCACCCCTTAAGCAACCAATGAGCCCGAAACAGAAGAAAAGAAATGAGAAAGAAAATGGAGAGAAAAAAAGTCAAAAAGTCACCTTTTATTTTTTTGTCATCTTTTCGGGGGTCCTCTTACAACAATTCTTTATTATATATATATTTTATATAATAATAATAAAATAATAATAAAAAAGGGTGGTTACAATCTATCCTATAGCATATTTCAAAACATTAAACAACCAGACATTTTTTCCTACTAATTCTTCGCTTTCATATTGATATGCAATTAATTAATAAATGGTTGCATGTGATCAAATTTTATAATAATAGCCATAGTGAAACTAATGTCGAAGACCACAGTAGTTCTCTATTGGAATCAGTCAAGTATGTCGACTCTGTTTTATTTTAACATATTGGAATCAGTCAAAGTATGTCGACTCTGTTTTAATTTAACATGATGGAAGAGATTGAACAGATAATACCAGAATTCGAACACTACTTATATTCTGCTCTCCTTTATGATGAACAGATAATACCAGAAATTGTTTCAGGATCATGGAGCTATCAAAAAGGCATTTTGAAGCATCCAGCTCTTTTCTCCTTGTTTACATTGAAGTTGTAATTCTTCTCTCATGCTTCAACTTGCAGGATCTTAACTTGCTTGGTTTAGCAACAGCAAGCCATGCAGGTAGAGGAAATGAGACTGATCAACAAGCTTTACTCCAGTTCAAAGCCATGATAACCGGTGATCAGCTCAGAATTATGGAGTCCTGGAATAGTTCCATTCACTTCTGTCAGTGGCATGGTGTTACATGCAGTCGAAATCATCAGAGAGTCACCAAATTAGAACTGCAATTCCTCGAGCTCTCGGGATCTGTATCGCCATACATTGGAAATTTAACCTTTCTGAGGGAGTTGAATCTTGCGGGCAACAGCTTCTACAATCAGATTCCTCAAGAAATTGTTAGTTTAAAAAGATTGGAGATATTAGAACTATCTAATAACTCCATCAGTGGTGAAGTCCCTTCCAACTTATCTGCTTGTTCTAAGCTTATACGAGTTAATATGAGAGGCAACCAGCTAACTGAAGAAATACCTTCTTTGCTGGGTCAATTGCCAAACCTGAAATACTTGAGTTTTCATAACAACGGTTTGAGAGGGAGCATCCCTCCTTCGTTGGGAAACTTGTCATCTCTGCAGGTGCTTTCCTTGACGAGGAACGATTAACTGGTATTATACCTGAAGCTCTTGGACAACTGACATATCTTCAATTTTTCGGAGTAGCAACAAATGCAGTATCCGGCACTGTTCCAGTCACAATGCTCAATATGTCCAACATTAGAGTCTTTGATATTGGTGGAAACAAGATCCAAGGTACTCTTCATTCCGACTTACCAATCACCATGCCATATGTTGAGATCTTTTCCATAAGAGGAAATCAAATATCTGGACAAATCCCCGTTTCAATATCCAATTTCTCAAATCTGGATGTACTTCAATTATATGATAATAGACTTACTGGAAATGTGCCTTCCTTAGAAAATCTGAATAATCTGTCTCGTTTTCTCATATCCATAAACCATTTGGGACACGGGAGAGAAGGTGACTTGAACTTTCTCAGCACTTTAGTGAATAATACCAAACTAGAATATCTATACATAGGCACAAATAATTTCGGAGGGATACTTCCCGAATGTATTAGCAACTTTTCTAGCACCCTTTTACATTTGGTAATAGAAGAGAATAAAATATTGGGAAGAATCTCGGAAGGGATTGGAAATCTTGTCAATTTGGAGCTGATAAGGACATCACAAAATCAACTATCAAGGCCCATTCCCTTTAATATTGGGAGGCTCCAGAAGTTAAACATATTTGTAGCTGATAGTAATTCTTTCACAGGGACTATTCCCCATTCTATTGGAAATTTAACAGTGTTAACCGAACTTGCTTTAGACTTTAACAAACTTCAGGGCAGCATTCCTTTGAGTATAGGGAATTGTCAGAATTTGCTGGGGATGAGTCTTTCTCATAACAATCTTAGTGGACCGATACCTCCTCAAGTATTTGGAATCCAGTTCATGTCCATTATATTAGACTTGTCATCAAATTATCTGACTGGTGAGCTTCCTGTTGAAGTAGAAAATTTGAAAAACTTAGTTGGATTGGATGTTTCTCAAAACAGGTTATCTGGTTTCCTTCCAAACAACCTTGGCAGTTGTGTAAGTCTGGAGAAGCTGTTATTGGGTGGCAATTTGTTTGACGGGCCTATTCCTTCATCTTTGAGTTCATTGAGAGGTCTTGTGGCATTAGACGTATCTGACAATAATCTTTCAGGTGAAGTTCCAGAATTTCTTGTGAGCTTTGGGGCATTGAAGTATTTAAATCTCTCTTTCAATGATTTTGAGGGAGTGATACCAAGTGCAGGAGTATTTAAGAATGCAAGTGCTACGTTTGTTAAGGGAAACAATAGGCTTTGTGGGGGCATCCCTGAATTAAACTTGACAAGATATAGTTCAAAAACGTTGATCAGAAGATCAAACACTACCGTTAAAATAGTAATTGTTGTTGTGATTATAGGGGTGACTTTGATTTTCTCTTGTCTCGCCATCTTGTGGTTTAGAAATAAGAAACAACAGCCAACAACAACTTGTGCAGAAAATTCCCTTTTACAGTTATCATACCAAAGCATCTTAAAGGCTACTGATGGATTCTCCGTGTAAAATTTGCTTGGATCTGGAAGCTTCGGTTCAGTATACAAAGGAATTCTTGAAGAGAGTGGAGAAGCTATTGCAATAAAGGTGATTAATCTTCTTCATCAGGGAGCTTCAAGGAGTTTCTTGGCTGAATGTGAAACCTTGAAGAACATTCGACATCGGAATCTTGTCAAAGTACTAACAGCTATATCAGGTATAGATTACCAAGGCAATGATTTTAAAGCCTTAGTTTATGAATTCATGGAAAATGGAAGCTTGGAGGATTGGCTACATCCATCTACCAACAAGAATGAACCAGAGACGACAAGGAACCTAAGCTTCCCCCAAAGAGTTAATGTGGCCATCGATGTTGCTCATGCACTAGAATATCTACACCATCATTGCAAAGCACTGATAATTCATTGTGACCTCAAGCCAAGCAACATTCTTCTTGATAAGGAAATGGTTGGCCATTTAAGTGACTTTGGCTTGGCAAAAATCATTTATGTAGACATGCTTAACTTTCCTAATAATCAGTCAAGCTCTCTTGGGTTAAGAGGCACTATTGGTTATGCTCCACCAGGTCAGTTCAATTATCCATTTCTTCCATTATTTAAAAACAAAACATATAATCTAAAATCAGTTTTTTCATATATTTGGAGGATTTTTCTTTGCAATTATTTCTATAAGTAATTTGGATGAATTAATGTAGAATATGGCATGGGAAGCAAGTTGTCAATAAAAGGTGATGTGTATAGCTATGGCATCCTCTTGCTAGAGATGTTTACGGGGAAAAGGCCAATCGATGAAAGATTCAAAGAAGGTTTAAGTATTCACCAGTTCGTTAAAGCAGCTTTGCCCGAACAAGTTATTGAGATTATAGATCCCATTCTCCTTCAAGAGAGAGTCAACCGAGGAACAATCACAGACATGACTCGTAATGAAAACAGCTTGGGAAATGATAGGTTTTTTCAGTGTTTGAATTCGATATTCGAAATAGGACTCATTTGTTCTGCTGAATCTCCAAGTGAGCGGATGGACATGAGTGATGTTGTTAGCAAGCTTTGTTCCATCAAGCAAAACTTCATATGAATGAATTTAAATAAACTGCTCATCAACAGGTAATAACTTCTAATCGTCAAAAAAAAATACTGAATCATTTCATCACTTAGGCTTTGATTGGTATAAAGGATGGAAATGAGGAAGGATAAAAAATTTGTTAATCAAATGATTAAAATTCATCTTTCCTTTTTTTCATCCTTCATATCAAGCAAAGCCTTTAAGGTTTATTTCCACTACTTTTTCAATAAATGTTGCATTCATACAATAGGAAGAAGTAAAAAGATTTTCCTGCTGCAGGTACCTAAGGTTTCATAAGGATGAAACTTTTGAGAGGCTTAGATCATACAAGGCGACTTGTTTGTTGTATTACTAATAATGTTGGATTTTGCGTCTGTAACTTATTGTATCAGCATTGCTATTGAACATGTCATTCATGGGAACATTATATTGTTTGATTGGTATAAAGGATGGAAATGAGGAAGGATAAAAAATTTGTTAATCAAATGATTAAAATTCATCTTTCCTTTTTTTCATCCTTCATATCAAGCAAAGCCTTTAAGGTTTATTTCCACTACTTTTTCAATAAATGTTGCATTCATACAATAGGAAGAAGTAAAAAGATTTTCCTGCTGCAGGTACCTAAGGTTTCATAAGGATGAAACTTTTGAGAGGCTTAGATCATACAAGGCGACTTGTTTGTTGTATTACTAATAATGTTGGATTTTGCGTCTGTAACTTATTGTATCAGCATTGCTATTGAACATGTCATTCATGGGAACATTATATTGTTTGAAATTAATAACATTTGGATTTGGAAGCATTTTCTTCTACACATCATAGAAATTACTCTGTAAGTGTGCGAGTTTAATGATTTTATAGAGAAACCTTATCAACCAACAGTAACGTGAGGTCAAAGTTTCCCTACACTACCATGCAAACTACAAACAGGAAAATCTTAATAAAAATATGCACCTAAAAGGTTAAGACACTAAACAAGTCACTCGGTTCATTACCAGAAATTAGCTTCATTTCAAGATACTTGATTATTACTGCATGTATAAATTTACATATTTCCCAAAAAAAAAATTGTACCTACTTGAAAATCAAACATATAGCATATTATATCAAGATTTATGACAATTAAATGTGTAAAAGGCCAATCATTCACTGCAAAATGCATTAGGATGAACATCGAAGAGTAGGGGTTTCCAGCTCCCAGAGATTCTCTTGAGCATTAACATCGGTTCTTCGACACCTTCCTCAGTCAAACACCCTTCGTCATGATCCATAACCATAACCCTATTTCCTTTTGCGAGAACTCTCATTATTGGCTCTCACAACACTAGAAACCCTGAAGGCCAGGCTCCACTGATTCAAAAAGAAGTATATAATCCAAAGTCCATTCCTTTCCTTCTTAAAGACTATTTTAAAAAATGTTGCTGCCCAGGATTGAACTGGGGACCTTTAGTGTGTAAGACTAACGTGATAACCACTACACCACAGCAACTGATTACTTAAAGTGGAATCAGATTTTATTTTTGGCCACTTGATTAACATATGTTTATATTCTCCAGGAGAGAAATCTGATACTATTGAAGCTGAGGTAGCTATGCAAGTGCTACAATTACCAGCTGATACATGATTTAAAAGGTTTGGAATGAATTGAGAACTAAAGGCAGCTAAAGCACCATGGAGGAAGTTTATATGGTTTCCTTTGTACATTCCTCTTCATTCATTCATATCATTGATGGCTCTTTGGAAGACATTATCAACAAAGGATAGGCTTGCGAGTTGGGGGATGATTATAGATACTAGATGTAATTTTTGTATGTTGCAGCCAGAGTGTTTATACCAAGTCTGTTTGGCAGGGGATATTGCATTTGTGTGCATTATGGAGAAAGCCAATGTAATGGAGGCATGAGTTGAGACGGGCATGTACTAAGCTAGGTAAATCTCTCATAGTAGTTGCAACCTTCAGAAGGCCTTTCTTCTCGTATGTTTTAATCTATAGGTTCCTTATTTACTTGGTTCAGCAATTTTGGTGATTAATGGAAATGAAAAAGATAGAGAGGCTCTGCTCGATTTTAAGGTCAGGATTACCTATGATCGTCTTTGGGATATGTGTTCATTGAATAACAGCATCCATTTTTGCCAATGTCTTGGTCTTAAAAGCAACTGAAGTCATGAAAGATTTTCTAAGTTGAAACTGTGAACTTTGAAACCAGTGGGATAAATATTGCCATATATCGAAGATTTGAGCTTTCTGCGAGTGTTAAATATTTCAAAACAACAGCTTCACTCAACATGCAAAATAGCATAAGCTACGGATAATATCACATGGGAAACCTAGTTTTGCAGCCAGACAAATTGGCCATGAAATCTGCAACTTGGTTGGTACATGGACATGACACATGCTGAAATAAACTAATATTCTCTAAACTAAAGTCCTTGATTCATAAGTAATCAATAATTTTCACTTTCATTAAGCATCAACAAATATAGCTTTCCCATGTGATAATCTCCATATATATGTATATTGACTAGATTTAACCTTATTCCAAGTTTATTGTTTTTTCTTTTTCTATTTAAATATACAACTAATCAACAATAATCTAGACTTTATTTACTAGAACTACAACTATGATTAGTTATAATAAAACAGAAAAAGAAAGCCTTTTTTTTAATGTTCAAAAAGCCACCGCAAGTCAACGACTGATATTGTAATTTATATTATATAAGATGTTATAGACACATGAAAAGTTTCTAAATTAAGATTGTGTTGTTGTGAAGCATGTGCAAAAAGTATTTAGTAACAAGGAGCATAAAGTCAAACAAAAAAGTCAACCCCTAAACCAATTGATAGATTATATCCGAGTTCCAAAACTATTTATATTGCACTCTTCTTCTTGTTAACGAACAGAACACTCTCAAAGACAAATCAATCTCACCAATTAAGAAATTTATTGATACAGGTTGATGGAGTTAAAAAGAAAGCATATGGAAGCTTCCAGCTTTCTTTTCCTTGTTTACCTTCAAGTTGTAATTCTTGTAAGTTGTTTTTGGTTGGCTTTGCGCCTATTAATAAAATTATGATTTGAGCAAGGAATACAAAAGAAACAGTTATAATTTTGCTCTCATGCTTCATCTTGCAGGATTTTAACTTGCTTGGTTGGGCAGCAGCAACAGCCCCTGAAATTAGAGGAAACGACACTGATCAACAAGCTTTACTACACTTCAAAGCCAAGATAACTGGTGATCATCTCAGGATATGGAGTCTTGAAATAGTTTCATTCACATCTGTCAGTGGCATGGTGTTACATGTTGTAGAAAGCATCAGAGAGTCACAAAGTTGGAACTGCAATTTCCCGAACTCTCGGGATCTTTATCGCCGTATATTGGAAATTTGAGCTTCCTCAGGGTGTTGAATCTTTCTAGGAACAACTTCTACAACCACATTCCTCAAGAAATTGGTCGTTTAAAAAGATTGAAAATATTAAAGATGGTTAATAACTCAATTAGTGGTGAGATTCCTTCCAATTTATTTGCTTGTTCTAAGCTAACATTTGTTGATATGAACGACAACAATCTAACATGAGAAATACCTGCTCTTCTGAGTCTCTTGCCAAACCTAAAAATCTTAGGGCTTCCCAACAAAAGATTAACAGGGACCATCCCACCTTCCTTGGGGAACTTGTAATCCCTGGAGGCACTTTCTTTGAAGGGTAATACTATGAATGGGATTATACCTGAATCCCTTGGACAACTGAAAAACCTTTCATATTTCACCATCAGCCGAAATGCAATTTCTGGTACTGTTCCTGTTGCATTGTTCAATCTGTCCAATATTAGACACTTTAATATTGCTCAAAACTGTTAGATTTGTCTAGAAATTAAGTTGACAAGTTGGAAATTTCATCTTGGTTGGTGGCCAAACTTTAAACATATTGTTCTTAAAACTTAACTATAAATAGGCCTAAGTATTTCCATTAGAAATCATCCCAAAAACAAGTTCTCTCTTCCTCTTGTATTCTTCATTCTCCCACTTTGGGAATTCTAAATAATTCCATTTGTTATAATATTGGCGATATAGTGAAGTTATCATCCGGTGTGGTGCCCAAGGAGTAGACGATATT